GTGGTGAGGCGGGTGGTATAGTGTTGGGCTTCGGGTTTGGGTTGACGTGATGTGAAATTGGAAGGGGAGAGTTGACAAAGACTTTGGGACTTGACGTCCGGGGTTGAAAGGAGATCAACTGAATTCCGGAAGAACACACCTGTGTGTGAACATAATCCCCGTCAACCACCTTTCCTAATCTGCTTTTCTCAACCTCCTTTCTCCCTCCTTCCCTCCACCTTACCTATTACATTACGACAGGACTTATGGGCAACCTTACTCTTCTTGCTCGTTCTTGCCGGTTTCGCTGGGGTTGCGTTCTTGGGCGTTTCGTCCATCAGGGATAACCGCACAAAAATCGATCAGACGTTCTCGAATAGCACTATTACGGGCCAAGATATTGGGGTTCTTGCTGCCTTGAGCATTGGCGCGGCGTTCGTTTTGAGTCTGATTTACTTCTTTATGATGCAAAAGTATGGAGAAGTACCTTCTTTTGAGCTTGGGTTGTGTTTTCCGGCGTGTTGTTCTCTGATGGATTGCGTGAGGGGTGAAGGAGAGTGGGATTTTAGTTCCTTCGGTCATCGATTACTGACTGTTTCCTTTAAATCCACTTACAATGCACACCCCAAATGACAGGTTCGCCGGGAAATTGATCCACATTTCCTTCATTTTGAACATCGTGCTCATGTTCGTCATGGCCGGCGTATATGTCGTTCTCGGTGTTTCCAACCGGGGTTCCAGGGCCAGCTCAAACTTCTACATGGCCATCATCTTCGCCATTCTTGGTGCCCTGTACATTTTCTTCTACTTCAACTGGAGAAGTCGCTTCGTAAGTAGATTACCACATACCTCGGATCATCCTCAATCCTGTACTTAAGGTGAAACATCCCGACGCTCAACCTCTCTTCCCTTTCTCCCCACTCTATATACAGCCCTTCGCCAAGATTATGCTCAAAACCGTTACATCCATAACGGGAAAATTCCCGGCAACAATCTTTGCTGGTATCATTGGTGTCATCCTTGAGACTGCCTTCTCCGCTCTCACCATCATCACCGTTATCGGCATCGTGTTGAAGTACAATGGCACTACACAGTCTGGGGCTCTGTACGCTTTGCTTGTGTTTGTTGCTTTTGCTTTCTATTGGACAGTAAGTTTTGCCCGTTTTCCATGGTGGATTGGTGTCTGGTGTGCTTCCAATACCACGGGAATCACTCACGTGCATCTATTGTCTTTCATCATCGATTATAGACCCAGGTTATCAAGAACACAGTCCATGTTACTGTCGCCGGACTCTTCGCAACCTACTACTTCATGGGTACCGCCGCTCCAGATGGTACCGTTACCCTCTCCGTATCCAACCCCACCGCCGGCGCCGCCAAGCGTGCGCTCACGACCTCATTCGGTTCCATCTGTTTTGGTTCCCTCGTCATTGCCCTCATCCAGACTCTCCGTGCCATTTTGAGAAGTGCTGCCCAAAACGCCGCCGAGGACGGGAACTTTGTCGGCGCCTTCTGTGCCGTGTGTGTGGAGTGCTGCTTGTCGTACATTGACGCGTTGTTGCAGTACTTCAACTTGTACGCGTTCACGGAGGTGGCCATTTACGGCAAGGACTACTGCTCTGCTGCTAAGGCTACGTGGGAGCTCGTCAAGTCGAAGGGCATTGACGCGATTATCAATGATAGCTTGATCGGGAACGTCCTTGGTCTCGGTGGGCTTTTCATTGGTCTTGTTTGTGCGGCTCTTGGATACGGTTATTCAGGTTCGTATCTATGCATGCATTCTCATCCCTCTCCGTGGTGTATTTGTCGAGTTTTCTTCTGGCACCACATGCGCTAACTCATTCCCTTCATCACAACTTTGACTTTTTGTGTACGCGATACTGCAGTCCTCTCCACAACCATCCCCGACGAACCATCCTACTTTGTCATCATCGCCCTCGTCTCCTTCTTCATCGGTCTCTCCGAGTTTGCCATCCTCGCCGCCGTCATTGAGAGTGGTGTCGCCACCACCTTTGTGTGTCTTGCTGAGGACCCAGAGGCGTTACGGAGGACAAAGCCGCAGTTGTTTGAGAAGATCTTGCAGGTATGTGTGTTTCGGGGGGTTTGTGAGTCGTGGAAGTCGTATTTGCCATTTTGGGCTGGGTCTTTTTGGCGTGCTCATGAAGTGAATTGGGGTCTCTGATATTGATGTTTTCTGCGTCTTTCTTTATATCTGAAATGAAACAAATAGGTCTACCCCGAAGTCCAACTGGGTTACTACTAAACATTAGCAAAAAACAAAACAAGGAGCCCACAAGTGGGATGTGAATCGAATTCAAGTCTCTGAATTGGGTTGTTTCTGTTCCGCTCTACATCTATTTCCTCTTTTTCTTTTCAGTCCTTCATGTGTTTGCTCTCTGAAGCGAAAAGTTTGTTACATGTTATAGTTATGTAAGCGTGCATTTTTCGGATTTCGTGAGTGCTTTTGATTGGTGGTGTTGGGTTTTTCGATTTGTTATGGGTACCCGTTTGTGAGTGTTTGTTCTCAGGCAGTTTTTGGAATTATCAATTTGGAACTAGCATGTATGTTTTTCAGTTCATAGTCAGCTGTGAGTCACGGATAAGCAAATAGTAAAAATAGATATCTCCCATGGTCTGAATGACAGCTACTGGTGTACAAATTACAGGTATTATGGGTCAAATGGCAAATATATATAGCTATTGATCAGATAGTAATCACCGGCCTTAGCTCAGTTGGTAGTAGCGGCAGACTGTAGTTGGCATAGCCAGACATCTGTAGGTCCCTGGTTCGACTCCGGGAGGCCGGAATGGATACTAATTATTGCAATAATTGATACTTTTGTGTTTTTGCCTGACATTTCTTGTCCAACTCTACTCTTCGAGTTTGATTTCGGGAGGCCAGACTGAAATTTTTGCAGATTGTTGCAGCACTTCTTTTCCACCCACACAATCTTTGGAGACAGTCCCATGCTTCTGCACGTAGTATTCGTGATGTTCAAGGCAAACAATTTCAATACAAACGAAAAACTGCAATTGATATCAGATTTAAATTGACAATGTTTATGTTTGGTGCCATGTTCGGTGAGCAGGGCAGTTGAAGAAGGAAAGGATCAGGACTAGCTTAAAAAATGCTTGAATGAAGCGTGATTGCGGCAGTCCATGCTTGTAGGCAGCCTTGTAGGTGTCAACGGTAGTTGCTTTTTGACTTTGGGAGGCCGGACTCTTCTTGAATCGACTTAGCAGCTGTTTTCGCTCGAGCACCGTAAGTGCGCTTTTATTTGAGGCCGGGGTATATTTTCGATCCGTCCAATCTTTTGACTCGGAACCCTGCGCGCGAGCGTGCGAGTACCACATCATGATGCGCGAAGAGAAGCGACAGAAACACCTATTCACTACAACAATCAACGATAAAAGGTCTTCTCGTGCAGAAGGTAAAAGATGACGCAACTTGTGCTACATGAAATCGAAAGGCTCATGAATATCGAGCAATCGTTCAAACCGGCAAACCTTACCGTCACTTTGCCTATCAGTTTAGAGAGAAATCCCGGGCAACTACCGAATGAAAAACAACTTCAGACAGAAGAAACACAGGCACTTCTCTCGAATAATTGGATAGTGCTGATTGGGGCCTGCACAAGTTCACCATCGCTTTGCCTAAAGTATCAGTTTGAGAAGGCACCTCCTATACCAAACAAACTTTTTCCAATCACCGAACCCCCTCGCCGTCTTGATTGTGCAGGTGAAGATAGTTGGTCAGCGTACGTGTTCCTCTCAATATTCGACCCGATGGACTTCTTCTTTGATCCACTTCCACTCACCCGTCGACGCTTTTTCCAACTGTTGAAGGATTTCATCATACACGGGCACATACATAGACCAAGAGCGCTTAATATTAGGCTACCCTGCAAGAGTAGAACATGGAGCGATCATTATTTGGCCACGAATTGCGTCGTTTTTCCCTCTAGATCTCGGTGGAAAATGCGTGTGCGCACTGCGGTAGAAAGAATTTGAAAGGAAGGCACATGGTGAATCGCCGAACTTCAGAAACATAGATGAAAGTGATGGAACTGGTACTATCCGATGTGGTGAAGGAGTGAAGTCCATCGCTTTGATCCGAGCTGCTGACGGAAGAGAAGTGTATGCAGCAAGACATAAAGACCAGTTATCGTTGTATATGTGTAGGGCGGACGCGGCTTGAACTCCGGCTTCCCTTGCATTGAATTGCGATTATGATAAGACCAGACATACCGTCTCTTCTTTCCAGGAGTTCAATATCATAACCACCTGAAGTTGCTGGCCGCGGCTGTACTTACAATCCCCTACCATTCGCAAATTAAACACCACAAAGGACCTTTTCCCATATTGGGTGCGAAAAATACTACATTTCATTTTGAATTTACAATTGAAGAAGATTTGCCCGCTTTCTGGTGAAGTGTTGAAGTAGACATATTTCGTCGGGACCTTATCTAACATCAAAAAGGCGAACAAACGGAACCACATTTGTATCAAACGCCACTGCAACTGATGCAAGTTTTAATTCGCCGGGTCCGTGCCAAAGTTTGGAAAAACGCCTTTGGTTTTGACAGCAGTCGCCCAGATGCGCCACGCATCAGCAAATGTTCTGGTTCCAAATCTAAATCCATCTTTGGATTGCGCGACTTTCTCAACGTCTCTCAGGATCCGCTGGTATTCATTCCGACCGGGATAGTATATAATGTCAATAGGGCTTGCGAGACTGGGATCTCTGAGAGTGAATTGGTCGATCGTGCCGCAGACCGCGTGACTGGTATTGAAGAAATTCAGAGGATAAAAGGATAAAAGCTTAATTTTCCGACTTTTGAATATGCAATGAAGAAGAATGATGACAAAAACAGAACCAAAAAGAAAGAAATGAATCAGTTTCTTAAACATACCTCAATTCATGAACAACTATGGTCGACGGCAAGACGACTTGCCAGTCGTTAAGACCAGCAGTGGAGCTGCACGAGAAAAAGCGGATTCCAAACATGATTTCTGGTGGTGATGCATCACGGACTGCAGCCGCAATCGCACTTTGCTGTCTTCCAGTGACCAAGTTGCACTGTGAAATCACGATCTGCGAATTTGTTATGACCGAAAGCATCTTATCCATACAATCATTCATGATTCGACATTGTCTCCTCACGTTACAGTTGACCTGCCCAAACGCGATGCCCATGTTGCTCTGGAGAGGAATTATGTTTCCGTTAGCAGCAGCGTTTTTCAATGTTTCATCTAAATCTGTTTTCATGTCCTGGATGATTGTGCGAGCTTCTGAGAAGGCGGCTGCGATTTTGTTTTTGTTGTCAGCAGTACAGGAGGAGCCAACGAAGTTGAATCGGGAGAGGGGAAAGTCCGTTTGTCGTTTGGAGAGACGGAGATTCCTGCCGACTGCATGATCCAAATAATTGTCAAGTGAAGAGGAATCCGAATGAGTTGACTTCAAAACGAATTCGCGATATAGAGTTGCAATACACAAGAAAAAGGGATCAAAATACGTACTGAAACCACCGCTAACCGCAGGACAGAATTCGGTGTTGTCAGTTCGAGCAGCTTGAAGGGAAACGCAAAGGGAGAAGATAACGGAGTCAGTCATTTTCAATGATCACAAGACTCAAAAATCTTAGAGATGAAATCCCTTTCCCAGTGGAAAAGACTTTCCGAAACACACTCGCCGCCCATTATTGTTGATTTCCGTAGCGATCCCAGGGCATTGCGTGACGCAGGTATTCCCAAAGAGTGCCCTATCTGCGGGGCAGCTTGCGACGCACGTCCAACTCAAAAGTTCCAAAATCGCAAGCAGGTCCGCCGATGTCCACTGCAGGGACAGGCTGAGGAGGGTTCTGCGGCAAATTGAAGTAGATGTACGCTGTTTTTGCAACCACGTACACAGCCAGAGCCAATAGTTGGATCTGTCGCTTTTCCACTGCTGGTTGTTGATGCTGCGTTTGGCAACTGTCGTAGTCGTGCCATCCGAATTCGGGCGGGGCTCAGAGATACCAATAGCGCATTGAAGATTCGCTCGCAAACGGGACTGTGGATCGGTGCCTTTTGCCAAGCAAGATTGTCGTGGGAAGTTCTCCAATTGGAAGTCTGGGGTCCAATCTTGACATCCCTGGGCGGGACTGTTGAGGAATCTCTGAATTGTGTCAGACATACCTGAGATTTGATGTTCTATCCGTGCATTTTCTGAGAGGGGGCCGAGGTGTCCGCGGGGGAGGGCGTAATGAAAGAAATCAGAGTGTGAGAAAGGGAGGGTGATCAGCGGCGAACCACAGAAAGATCTGTAAATTCAATTATCCATCGTCTAAATTGCCCAATCCTTACCGGGTAAGCCTAGCAAGGGATTTGCCTGTTCCATCTGCAGCAGCTCCGCTACAGACAGGACTCTGTCATTGCTCAAATCTCACGCGTTTGTAAAGTTCAGGATTTGTGTTTGAGTATCGATGACCTTGATCTGCCTCAACAGAGATCCTACGGTTTGGGCAGTCACTTGTGTGTGGTGGTGAGGAGAAGGACGGCGCAAGCACCCGTCAGAATCGTAGATGTCCTAGTCATCGTGTTGAGTGCAGGAGACATCCGTGGAACAAATGTCACTAACAATCACATAGGATGAAGATTCGAGGTGTGTTTATATGTTCTTTGGAATCCTTGCTGATGGCACGCAAAATGGCTGAGGGTCTCGCCATTATTAGCCTCAGTGTTGGTCTTTTCGGCCGTCAACTTCGCTGGGGCGATGAAGAATGTTGGGGCGGACATTATGCAGAAACGCATGATTTACAAGAATCCTTCCGGAAAATCGCAGAGAAACATAGGTAAATCCGGAAGACAAATTCAAACAATTATCCAAAAAAACAAACGTCGAGGGCTGTATGGGCGCAATTCTTTGAGAAAATAGATACGCCTTCCGTTCCACGCTCCACTTGATGAAGTGTAGACACTTGAGGAGTTTGCTGATGGGATTATGGTAGACATACAATTGAGATCGGTGTCGTATTGAAACACACGAATGAGACGACTGGAACATTTCGGATTTTGAATCAGTGTCTGTCAAAGAGAAGTGTGCGCGGTCAACAACAGGAAGAGTCTTCTCCTCTGAAGAAGGCGTTTCTCTTACATACCGAACATTGGTTGTGGAGGTGCTATATTGATACTAAAAGCTACAGCTTGTTTGAGTGTGGATGGCTAGATCGATGGCTCAATTTTCTGCCGAACGCCATATTTAAAATTTGCTTTTCTGGACACGCGCTTTCAATTCTCTTTAAATGAGTTGGCTTCTTTTTTCTAGAAAAACATCTTCGTTCTCCCTACATGAAACCCATGGCATTTATTTCCATTTATACATCTACAAATACAGTTCGCCGGAAATCTTACGGTTTAATGCAAAGCGGTGGAAAAATCTATCCTGTACCTTTCATACACATCAATATCGAAGCCCCTCATTCCATTACCACATCAACTCTTAAAACAATTTCATTTCGCCGGGTCATTACCAAACTTCGGGAAAACGCCGTTGGCTTTGACAGCTGTAGCCCAGATGCGCCATGCGTCTGCGAAGAGTCTGGTTCCGAATTTGAATCTACCCTCCTTTTCGGGCAATCGCGAGACTCTCTCAATGTCTCTCAGGATTTGTTGGTATTCGTCTCGGCCGGGATAGTAGATTTCGTTGATGGTTTTTGTGAGGATCGCATTTTCGAGAAAAAGTTGATCGGACGTAGGGCAGAGGGCGTGACTGCATTCAAATCAAGAGAGATGAAGATATGAGTTTACATTACTTTTTAACAGCACA